TAGCAGCTCCAAAGGGGCTGCTGACATTTTTGTAACCCGCCTGTGGAAATATTCGAACAAGGGATCATTGCGGGGACATTGCGGATCGCACGCGTCCGATCGTCTACACATTTATCGATGTCCCCGATAGTCTACAAGCCGACATCTCGCCTTTGTTTGTCGAGGAAGAGCGACGCTTTGTCCCGTAAGATTCCCGCCCGCAATCAACGCGCAAATGGTCGTCCTCCTTTCCTCCCTGACGTTGTAATCGCTGTGAATTTCTGACGATAAAGAAACCGATGACAAAGCTCGGTCAGATCTCCGATAATTAAAAGGAGAGCGGATAAAGCGAGGCGACATCCTTGAAAAATTAATCCGAGCTGATTTAGATTTAGTTGTACATTAAGATTTTTAAAAACTCAAATATTTAACGATTTAGATTTTTTTGTATTGTTAAAATTTAACATATAGTATCCTTTAAATTTTTTAAACTTTAAGTGAGACATAAACAGATTAGTCAAATTTCGATGAACTTATAGAGAACTTAATTCTATTTTAAATCCCGAATTCTTATAAAAATATAAATTAAATTAGAAGTTATAAATTTCAAAAATTAAAATATGCGTTTAATTTAATATTTAATTCATAAATTTTTATTCTTTTCTTTCTTTTTTTAGAAACATGACAAACATGGGGATACAAGATAAAAATCTTGTTATTTCTTCAGATTGTCTTCAGAAGTACCTCGCATCAACATAAGGACTTCGTATACACGTATTATCGATCGTGACTGGAGGTACTAATCTTGAGAACTCTATCGAGGCTCGTCATGCTGATCTCAGAGGGCAATTTGACATCTTGGGCCAGCAACTGGACAACGTTGTTGCACCAGGTGTCTTGCAATGACACTCTTTTGAGCTGCACCGAGGAGTGCGACATCATTTCCAGCGGATTCAATCATCTTTGCACTACAATCGAGAGAGGAACCTTCTCCGCTTCATCGATGACACTTTTGTGCACACCCTGTGATTATACGAGTTGCAATGTTAATATATCTTTGTTCCTCAACGGCCTTGAGAACATTGAAGGCGTCTTTCTGTCCAGAATACCGATAAAGAATTGCAATGTCACGTCCATCGAAGAAGAAGTAAGAGTTCTTTTTAAAAACTGAAAACATTAAAATATCGAAATTTTTAAAAATATTAAAGATTTAAGAAGTTGAGAAAGTTTGAAAACAAAAAACGCTTGAGATCAATTTACTCAAGGGTCTCTAAGATTTTATAAATTCAGACAAGTAAAAGATAAATCTTTATCCCTTAAAAATTCAATTTTTTACAAGTAAATAAATTTTTCAGGGTAATTTTCAAAAATTTTTTAAATAATTCAAAAGTATCAAAAAGATCGAAATTTAAAAGTATAAAAAAATTTAAGAACTACAAAATTTTGGAACATCTAAATTCAAAGTTTCGAGCATTTTAACTTTTCATTAATAATTTTTACAAAATTTGAAAAATTGTAAATATTTTTTTTTAAGATTTCTGTCTTAAATCTAAAATTATATCTAATTGTATAATATATTAATATATTATACAATTATATAATATAATATAATAAATGTAATATTTCTTTGTCAAAGTGTGGCAAAGTTGTTTGATTTCCGTCTAGGACGAGGGTGATGTCTGAAGATCTTCATTTCGACGACGAAAGACGATATTTCAAATCCGAGACGACATTTAGAAATTGTCATCTTTTCGTTTTGACATTTTGAAAATTCCAGCCATCCATCTCGGATGTAACGGACGGATAAATATCCGGTATGTTTTAGATTTTGGAGTGTTCGCCAACTGGGAGCATCGCCGACGATCTGGCAGTGTCCTGCTCGCACCGATCCAAGATCGGTGGCGCGGGAACGAAGTCACGTCGCTTCGATTGGAGTTTTCTGTTTGTGGTAGTGTTCATAGCTGCCGGCGGACTGGGAAATATATTGGTTTGCCTGGCGGTGGGACTGGACAGAAGGCTCCATAACGTGACGAACTATTTCCTGCTGTCGCTGGCCATGGCTGATCTCCTGGTCAGTCTCTTCGTCATGCCATTGGGTGCCATACCTGGCTTTCTAGGTGAGTTTTCAAGAATAGCTTTCTTTTCACTGTTATTCGCAGATGTTGATCCTAGATAGTTGCCCTTTAACTTTCGGTTTCATGAACGAGACACGCTCACGAATGACGCAAATATCATGACGAGATATATTCTCAAATATCTGAGAATTTTAAGATAAACCGGATAAACGTGGAATGAGCAAAAGAGCGGAAATATTTTGTGTAAAGAGAAATATCTGCGGCTGAGTGCCGCAAATAATAGATGCGGAGTAGAACGGTGCGTATTAGCGGCACACCGGAGCAGAATTTTACCTGCGTAGCGTCGCGCGCGATCGGATTACCTTCGTAATACAATCCGGAGCTTAAGACGCCATGGTATAGTGGAACAATGTAGAAACGGGAGATGACACGCGCGCAAGATTCTGTGTCCGTTCTCTCTTTCTCCTTCCTGATCTTACGTATATTCCGCCGCAAAGTTTCCTAATAATCGCGTAAATTGCCCTACAGTTAATCGAAATTAATCGAATTTAAAAGTGCTCATCTCTTACAAAACTTAATTATTAATTTCAGAATGCGACGTCAGATTAAAGACAAATTGTTAACTTCCGAAGATATATATCCATTAACGTATTGTTTTTTTTTTTTTTTTTTTAACTAACCTAATAGTTAGTTATCTCATCAGCCAAGAATGAGTTACTGATTTTGAAATAATTCGTAAATTAATTTATGACCCAAATAAATCTTTTCTCGACTACGAACAATTGGCCCGCCTTTTCCCGCTTCTTCCGTTGAACGATTTTATCCACGAGTTTTCGCGTCACGTGCTCGCGCCCCATTCTTCACGCGAAACGCGCCGATGACACGCGAGGCATTAGCGGATTCATCGTCGCGGCTCGTTTATCTCACGAACGAGACAGCTTTTGCTCCACGACCTAGAAGGAGTAATTTCCAGGCAGATCTAGGACCTGAGAACTTAAAATCCGGGACAGCAAGCGCCATTCGATTCCATCAAGTCGTTAATATGAAACTCCGTTGAAGCATCTCTAGTATAGTCATTTCCTTCAACTTCTTCGACTTTCTTCGATTCGACGTTGATTCTAATGCTATTGAAATAAAAAGCGTTCTCGTATTTTCTAGCTTCGATGTTGCGACACTTCACTTCGCGATGCGCGAGATACATGAGATTTCCCCTAATGGCATCGACGTGGTGAAAAGTATTTATAATGTATTAGATCTTTCAAATTTTTTTAAATATAATACATTATTTATTAATTTTAATATTATTAAAATTAATGATTAACGAAACTTTTAGTTTTTATCCTTTCAAATTTTGTAACTATAGATCTAATCCTACATTTCTACTCCTTTAAAACTTTAATCTCATGAATTTAAAATTTTAAAATTTGTAATGTCCAGAACAAGCCTCCAATTATATAAAAGTTCTGTTAAAACTCACTTCTGTCTTAAGTCTCTTTTTTAATAGCTTAAAAACATGTTTAAATGTATGGGATAATCAGCAATTAGCAAAATGTTAGAGATAAATTTATAAAAGGAAAAATATTAATGCTAATTAATTGGCATTTTTTACGCCCGCCATCGCATGGAAAATAATTTTTATTAATTTTTTGTATACTCTGAAATAAATTAATTTTACGTAATAAAACAACAATAATGTTAAGGATTGATAAATAAAGATTAGCTCAGCGACGTTTTATTACGTTTAATAATTCTCGACGTCCTTGATCCTATTACGGGATACCGTGATTATGGTGCTAATTAATTCGCGTTTCGACTGAAATTGCTGCGAGCAACGAAGCACGCCGTATGGCGATTAAGTACTTTCGAGTGTCCAATCTAGTGTCGGCTTGATGACAACCTACAATTACCTGCGATGACACTTATCCATCATAAATCGTCCCTCGTCTCATCTATGTCCTTAGACTTTGTGGATAACATATAATTACAAAAAAATTAATTCAATTAATCTAAAAATAAATAATCTATAAGTAGCCTAGGATCAAATACAACACCGAAAGAACCTTAAAACAGTTCTTAATAATAATCATAATCGTAAATCACTATAATGAAACAATTTTAAGTGTTAACCGTTAATGAAAATTACTCCGCGACAATCATTTATTCCGACTTTATTCCAAAATTATATTATTGCTAGACAATTATTAATCGACAATTTTTATTTTAATATTCAATTATTAAAATCATTGTAAAAGAATGTCAAAATATCAAATTAATATATTTCCGACAGGGACAAACTCGTGCTGAAATCGTTGGAAGTGTGAAACTTGCGGTTCTACTCGCGGGGCGACCGCTCGTTACACTCGTTAAGCCGCACGGTTCATTTCCGACGTTTGTTTTCATATTTTCGTCGAATATATATATGCCGCGAGAACAGGCAGGAAGTGCATTGCGGGCACGTACGTGGTCGCGGTGCAACCCGCAGCGCGTATGTACCTTGTTACGGGGGATGCGCATTGGCGCGTAGCGTTTGTGATGACTGAAAATTGGCAAACTCGCCGCCTCAGAGCTATAGCGAATATTTCGTATTCAACGGCATTCGCGCCTTCACGCGCGAACTACCGTTACAGCCCCGTTCCCTATCGCATCGCAATTTCTTTCCTCGCGCATTTCCGGAGGTACCCACAAAGTTTCCGCCGTTAACTTTCCAAATTGATAAAAAGAATGGGGGGAAAAAATGATATATGCGCGGAGTTAACAACAACTGGAGCATCTTTTCATAAGTTGCTTCAAATCGAATTACCAATTTGTGTAATTTCGTTAACGTGAAGATTTTAACAATTGAATCTTCCCCCCCCCCCCCTCCCCCCGTACGACAAATTTTCTCATTTGAATTTTACTTATGTTTTATTTTTTGCTCTTGTTTTAAGATGAATGCTCTAAGGTTTAATTGTTCTCTTTCTCAGTTTTAATTGTCAAATTCCTCAAATCAAATATTCATGTTAAACAATGATATCCGGATGCACTCAGCAAGCGCAGATTCATGCGATACAATAATGTACAGTTACTCGGGTGTATGTACTTATAGTTTTAATTTTAATCGTTACTTATGTTCTTCTCAATGAAATATTGAATGTGTAAATATTACGTCGGAGCTATTTACATCTCTACCATACGTACCACTCAAGCGTTCTCGCTCAGAATTTCCTATGATAAACTAACCATTTTCTTTTATTTCAATTTTCTATAAAAAAAAAAAGCTAACAGTTTTTTATTCTTACTTTCATTTTTGCTCTTCGCGTCTTTTTTTTTTTATGTTTTAGGTCTTTATTGCAGCGTGTCTGTTCATCAAGCCGTGCTTTAATCTGTTACTAATGAAATTCCTCGCAACGTAATCTCCGAGGAGATCTTAATATAATACGACTATGCAAATTTTTGGGGTTACTATGCGTCCTCAGAAATTCTGCGCTTCTCGCCTTAATTCTCACGAGTGCAGCGCACTACACTGAGAGACAGCGGATTAAGTTGATTATTTTAATTGGGTTAGTATCCATGCTAGGTAGATTAAAGGAAGAAACTACACTTTGTAATGTGCGCAATGTCTCGCTCATTCAACTCGTTAAATGTCAGTCATATTGAACCGTAGTTACGATACTAAGATTTGCATAATGGAAGGAATTTGATACAATGAAAACGGAATATAACGTAAAACAGAATGATAGAATTACCAAGTTTCATGTTCATGACCGATAGTCCAATACACATTATTTTCAATCAATGATCGAGAAGACACAATTCGATTCATATACATATATCATTATTGACCTTATTAAATCGTTTTCGCGCCGCAAATCGCTGTTTACACAGTCTGTCATCATCTAATGTTTGCTTAATTCTTAGAATAATACCGAGTAACTGCATACGAAATTACATTCCATTGCATTCCGAAAATTTTGAATCGAATATTACATATCAAATCATTTGTTCTGCAGAAATTCAATTTTGACAAAATATTAACAAATTGTTTAAATTGTGGAATTTATAAAGAATTATATATTTTGATATTCCGTTAGATATTTATATACGTATATTTTCTTTCAACAAGCAATAACAGAAAATTATTGAATTAGAGATTATTTAAAAGAGTTATAATAAATTCTCGTAAGGTCTCAAATAAGGGCACTTTCGAAATTATGGCCATTCGTCAAATCACGATCAGCTATGAATATAGCCTTAAAATGTTCCAGGACGAATTCTTCGAGTTTCCGCAAATCTTTGAAGCTATAAAGTTATATCGGCAGCTCGGAGAATTTATGTGCGAAAAGTGACGGCTTGTGTAACGCACTTCCGACATTTGACGTCGTTTGATGTGGTCCATTCATCGTATCACGTGAATGCATCATATGTTTCCTGCGCATCCTCATATATCTCTATCTATATGTTAACGCGTATCTTCAGTCTATTTTTTTCGTTATCATTTCTCTGCGCATCACTAAAAATGTCTGACAAAAGTCATAGTTCCAAGAACAATATCATGCTCTACTTAAATCCTTTTCCGCCACATTTCTATTAAAAAATAGCCCATAAAAAGAAATCGTGAAAATCCGCCATTAATTAATTCTTTCCTCTATAATTTTTTTGTATATATATATATATATATACATTTGTATATATATTATTTATGATATATATATTATTTATATTTTATGAATATTAAGAAAATAAAAAAATTTATTTAAATTAAATTACTTAATTATCATAAACTTTACAAAACAAATAGAAAGACAATTAGTTTAACTACGAAATAAAGTTTAATCAATTATTATTTCAATTACTATCTTCAAATATTATTTTAATTACGGATTATTCGATATTTTCAATATTTTAATAATCCAAGGTGACTAAAACATGAAGACAGCTTACATTTCTCTCTACTAATTTTTTTAATCGACGTTTTCTGACTAAAACTTGATAAAAAAATTTAACATTTCCTGCTTCGTGCAGATCGTATTATCACATGTGAGACTTCGCGACATTTTCTTTTTTGCAAATTAATCTCTCTTTAAAAGTGTTGATAGATAACATAATCTTATTTCTCATCCAATTTCAAGCGTATCTCACTTGAAGGAAATTTTTATTTAAAATTTAATTATTATTACGAATAAAAAACATATATAAATATAATACACGTAAACATAATAGAATTGACATCTATGTAACGTTAAATTTTTTCTTCATCTAAAAATACAGCCGTAAGGCTAATTTTGAAATAAGCTGTTTGTTTATTGCCCGAACAATAGACATATTTATAATGGCATCGTGACAGGCCGTAACGTGGCTCTTTTTCACTTGGATTTGACATCCGTAGCTTCCCGTCTTTTCGAATTTTCAGGATATTGGCCGTTCGGCGTCGTGTGGTGCAACGTATACGTGACATGCGACGTGCTCGCGTGTTCGGCGAGCATAATGCACATGTGCTTCATCTCCCTGGGCCGTTATCTGGGTATCCGTAATCCGCTCAGGACACGTCACACATCGACGAAACGAATGGTGGGCTTCAAGATCGCCGCGGTCTGGCTGCTGGCTATGTTGGTTTCCAGCTCCATCACGGTGTTAGGTAAATTACCCCTTTCCCCCCTCCCTCTCCCCCTCTCCTCCTTCGTATCGGCGGTGGTTATCTGCGGGGGGTGGGTTACCTCCCCCCCCCCTCCGTAGTAGAAAGCCCCCGATATGGACCGGCACGTATCTCATAAAACGGCTAAGTGCGAGCGCGATGAAAGCGCGTAGAATCGGCAAACAAATCCCCGAGACGAAACGTATTCGAGAAATGGAGGCTACACTGCCGCTCCGTGTTTGCCTACTCATAGAATATACAATCCTCTTTATTCCGGGTGATTCTATTTCAAGATAAATCGCGCATCGTGCTTATCTATTGCATTAACCTTCACAACAGAAGGTATACTATATTAAAGGTCTTCATTGTCATCAAGCCTGATAAATAATACAATTTTATCTCGTTTTCCCATAAGCCACCACACCGCACGTGCGCGTCGCTTGTTCCAAAATTTTGGAAACAAATTAAATATCAAGCGAAAACTCCCCGAAAGAGCAAACTGTGTTTTATGAGAAACTGCATCGCAACTTCTCTCACTCGGAAAATTTAAATCCTAACCCGATTATGCATATTAATGAACGAATTTTCTAACATAGATATTTTCCACTTGCTACTCAAATGTAAATTAATTCAATAATTTGACGATGGCATCTGTTTAACGTTTTTACTCCTTGTCAGTTTCGTTGTATTATTATCGTTCTGTTATTATTTCCCCTTCGCATTAACCTCTGGAATATTAATATCGTCTGCTGCTTTTAAGTAGTAAATAATATATCAGAGAGAAATTGCTTTGTTTAGAAAACTGCACGAATAGTTTATTATATACGTTCAAAAATTGGTAAGAGGAACAGATAAGAAAATAGGAGTGATACTTCGACGGATCGATAGAGAACCTCGTTTTTACGAGCCAATGATATTTTTCTGCATTCTCGAGATGAAGAGCGAAAAAGCGTGACAACGCCGCGATACTTTATCGACATAATGTACATTTATCAAAGCATGATTAAGATAACCATTCTCGATAAGCCACTCTAGTCGATAACAGAGGCGATAACCTCCATCCTCTTTTTTACCCCTTGTAATGCAAATAGCCCGGTGGAAATTCTAATTAGGCAAGTTATACCAAATTTCTCGAAATTTACTACACGTAACTAACTACACGTTTATTCTCTTAGAGAGGATCGATCGTGCAAAGTTAGATCGAGAATATTCGAGTTTGAGGGTCACTTTTGGAGATAATTCATCTCTTTTACACAAATATATTCATTACCATTTTAAAGCAAGTTTGCGGAGAGTCATGCTCCGGGAAATTTGACGAGAAGCTTGACGAGAACTTCAATAGACACCTAATTAGAGAGAAGAGGATAGTCGAGGTGTGAGAAGGACTCAACGATTGTTGTTTCAGGCGTAATTAATCCCTCAAACATCATGCCCAGGCCAGGAGTATGCGTCATCAATAATCGGGCGTTCTTCGTGTTCGGCTCCCTGATTGCCTTCTATATTCCTATGATCGTCATGGTGGCGACTTATATATTGACAGTGCAGCTGTTACGCAAAAAGGCGCGATTTGCAGCTGAGAACCCGGAAGGGGATCAATTTCGTCGATTAGGTGGCAGATATGCATCCACAAAAACGACATCGTCGACAGCATCATCGTCATCTACAATGGCGACCACGACTATTGGTGTGCAATCATCAGCAAGCCCCTCGGCAAGACAGGTTCGCTCTTCTAATTGCAGCGCAGAAAAAGAGAGGTAAGAGTTCAAAATAGATATTATTATTATTATTATTATTATTATTTTCAGGTTTAGTTCTTCTTAAAAAATAAAATTTTTATAAAATAATTAGCCTGCGTTATTTACATTTTAATTTAAAAAAAAAATCATCCCTTTATCCTTTGTGCGAATATCAGGCTGAATATCAGTTCGAAACTTTCCATATAAATTATATTATAAATTATATTATAAATTACAATATATATTAATATATAAAATTATATATAATATATTAAATTAAGACCATCTTTTTACATTATTAATAAATTTAATTGAATTAATAAATGTTAAAACCGAGAATAGATATTAAAAATTAAATTGAACCCGTCTTTTTTTATTGCGTTATACTTTTATTTTATTTATATTTTTATTTTTAAAAAAGCTCAAAACTTAATCTTTTATTTTTATTGTATAAATAATATAATTGAATGATTTATCATTATTATATTATATTGAAAAAGTAAAGCTGCAGCTTTATGCAGCTTCATAATATTTATGTATACGTACTAGTTGTTTATCGAACAGTGTTCGCGCAGCTTAATGCAAGGTAGATCGCGCATGCAACACCTCTGATATCAATGCGAAGCGACGATCCACGAGTCTATGCATCTTAAATCAAGCGTCGCGATGTAACCACCAGTCCGGGGCCGCGAATTAATGTGATACCAACTTTCTTCATCAACACGTCAATTTTTAATAGTAAACTCTCAACGGTCTGCGCACGAAAACAACAGTAGTATCATGTTGTTGCAATTGCAAAACGAAAAGCAGAATAAAATAAACAATGGTTCTGTTTTTCGTCTCTATCAGAAAAAATATTTCACTATGTAGAAATAATAATATATTATTATAAAAAGATGTATTTTAATTAAAAAATAATTACGCAAAATACAGTGCAACAAGAAACATTTGTGACATTAAGTTTTTTATCTCTTTAAATATTTAAATATTGCAATCTTTATACATAACAAATATAAATTAGTCGTAATAGGAAATAGCTTAAAAGAACGCTTAATCTTTAAGAACAAATACGCAAATAGTTTCTGGGAAATTTAAAAAGTTTCATTTGATTTGTTGAAGCAGCGACAAATGCGGAATTGTGAGAAAGGTTCTGCCGCATTTAAAGTTAACAGCGAACGGCGCCGGAAGTCCCGCCGCAGGATCTCGGCTCAAGTCGAAAGTGGATCAGGCGACCCAAACGCCAGAGAACATCGCACGTGAAACACGGAATTTCACCCTGAGGGCTCTGAAATTGCAATTGAACGTCACACCTACCGCCCTGAATCTCAGGTAGCCTTTCCTCAAACGGATCCGGACATTACAAATTTTATCCCTCCGTCCTTAAAGATCCAACATTCTTTAAGGTTTCTGGCGGGTCGGACAAAAAAAAGATCTCTGTCCGCGAACGCAGTCGCGACCGAACAGAAAGCTAGCAAGGTCCTGGGACTGGTGTTTTTCACATTCGTGTTATGTTGGGCACCGTTCTTCCTACTCAACATTTTCTTCGCCGCTTGTCCCAGATGTTCCGTGCCAAAACACGTAGTGGACACGTTCCTCTGGCTAGGCTACGTATCTTCGACAATCAATCCGATCATCTACACTATCTTCAATAAAACCTTTCGAATGGCATTTATTCGCTTACTAAAGTGCAAATGTTCCAGGTAATGCGATTATACTTATAATATATCAAAGTTAATTAGTGTAGTCTTAATACGTATTAATCTTCAACTAATAATATTACTTTACAATTTAATTACATTTACCTATAATACAATTCTCTCAAAAATTGAGTTGCTTAATCTCTTCAATTTTTTTCTCTTATTCTTCAAATTATAAAAAAAAATTTCCATTAATAAAGAAGATCTTATCTAAAGTCCTATCAAATGATAATCAATAAATTCTTCTTCTCGTGAAAATACAAAAAGAGAAATAAATTTGACAAAAATATTAAATGATTCTTTAGGTCTGCAAGGCCTTCGAGATATCGCTCGGTTACGGGAAGCGGAAGGGGAGCGGTGGGTTTGTGCACGTCGGGTGCTCTTCCACTGGCCATCAGTTTTCAGAATACGCCCTTGTTAACTCCAACGCCAAATCCTGCATCGACGCCAGCATCGGGAAGCTCTTTCGTGACAATGATGCACCGAACGCCGAGCTCGTTGTACCAAGACACCTTCCTAATTCACGAACGCGATCGGAACGATCATTAAACCCTTATCGTATTATTTCGAAAAACCACACTGCACAAATGCAATTTTTGTTTTCTCTGTGAAAACGAAGGCGATCTTAAACATTAATGTACATAGAATGTAAATAAAGTTTGTTCTATAATTATAATATTCTTTGTTATGTCTGAAAACTATGCGCAATATTTCGGTTCGCAGATTCGAATTCCACTTTTTTAATTGTAGTCACCTAATTAATTAAATAACTTCTCTAACTAAAATTAACCAAGAAGGCAGAAGAAAGTTTCAAGCTTGTTGTGCAGTGTTCATTCATCGAGAAAATCAAAATAATTTTCTGTTAAGTATTTGACAAATTTTTAAAGCTGTTTAATGATTAAACATTGTAGGAATTGAATCCAGATATTCATGTGCGACATGTACAAAACAAAATAAAAAAATATTGTTGTTTTAGTATGAGCTTCATCATTGTGTTCATCCGTAAACCTATAAATCAATTTGTTCCCGCAACTCTGATTTATAAAGCAATCTTGCGTGACGATATAAAGAATATAAGAAAGGTGGGTTTCTTTTACATCTAAGTATATATATATATGAGTTTATTCAGCTCAAGTCCATAGATATGTTAAGCTCAAATGACTGTACAGATTAATCATCCCTGAGAAGATTGAGAAGATAGTGTTTATTTTCTTATTAAAAAAAATAAATTACACTCGAATGAAGTCCATATTGCCGCCAAAAATTTAACAGTAGAATGTTATAATTAAATATGTAACATAGTATTAGGACTGCCATCTAATATATCTTCTAGGGATAGAAATTTGTCTTCCGTTGATAATTTAACTTTCCTCTTTTGTCTCTTTCATCAATCTTTCGATTAAACAATCGTCAATCGGTATGTTACTTAGTAATCGAGAGCTCAATTTTACCAACATAAGAATAATTTTCTCAAGAACAATCTCTCATTTATCCTCAGCAGGAAAACTGAAGAGATTATATTTACAAGTACATTTTGCAGATAAACAACCTTAGTATGATAAATATGTAACAATTTAATTATTCGAAATTCCGTGAAATGACAACAGTAAACAGAATTTTATCGTACCTCAAATATCAGTTCAAGATAAAATTTATCGACGATAGAGGTAAGCTGTCAATAAAGAATGGAAAATTCTCCATCATCCCTTATTTGTCAAGTTTAACCTAATTGTTTAAAAACTTCTCTCGACCGATGGGAAAAATAACGTTCAATCGACATTGGCATCGGAACATTAATCAAATTCCTATTTTCCAAACTTTGTGATGATAAATTTAAAAAAAGATTTCGAATTTTTTTTTAGATACTATGTACCCTCGAGATATAAGAAAATAAATTTCTTTTCAAAACGCGAAACTAATATTGTCGAAACATTAATGCTATTTAATTGTAATTCTCCAAAATATAATAAACATCAAAATAAATGTAAAGTATAAGTTATTTCGATATATGTTTACAATGTATGTATATATTAAAAAAAGTCGAACGAGTAATGTACTCCGCTTGTCGCAAAAACACACCTGGCGAGTTCGAGGTTGCTGACGGCAGCTGTTCGACCCAGTTGGCGTGCAAAAATAAGACGAACGATTATTATAATCCACGATCCTCAGATAATTGAGTTGGAAAGAATTTTCATTTGTCGATTCGACAACATAGTTAGATTATTCACTGCGGATACGGATACGGTTTTACGAAGTAAAGTTTGCGCTACCTTTAGTTCTGTAACAACTAGTTTGCGAGAACGTTGTTTGATAGAAATGTGAAGTAAAAATAATAATAAAATTCTAAGATTAAAGAAACAAATGTTTTACGGAAATTTTTTAAATAATATTAATAAGAAATTATTAAATAAATAAGATAAAAAAATATTAAGCAAATAAAAATAAACTTGATGTAACAGTTAAACGATAAGTAAATATAATATGACAAACAGAATTAAAGTAAAATAAGATCGAATTAAATGTGCAATAAAACTTCAATTTTCAAATTAAAAAACGTAAGCTTGTTCAGCAGAATTTGTTCTTGAGATTTATAATTCAATATCTCTGCAAAATATAAAAGCAATAAATAGAAAGCTTTGTGAAATCTTTCGATACACAAAATTCGATTTATTTCTAATATTATTTCTGGTATTGGAAACACGATTTTGGATCCGTCAATATTTTTAAGAGATAAGTTCAAAGATAAATTTATCAAATAATAATATGAATTTCGAAATGGCAAATGCGATTCGAGAAAGGCTGCGCTGAGTAATTTTTCAGCAGCAATGCAAAAAAAAAACCAGGGAAATTCGGATGTAATCTGTTCGGAAATTCGCTCGTTGAATGTTGCCTTTCGAGCTCTCTTTTGCTCTCACCGCTGATTTTATTCCTTCATTAGGCTCATGTAATTAGGGTAAAAGCACCCCGGCCTTTGCGCGCAGGACAAACAGCTCTACATGAAAGCCGGAACGACCTAAATGTATTTGAGAGAATATCATCGCGTTAATGCGAATCTTATGAGTTTCGATAAAAACGTGAGAGAGTCGGTGAGTATGATTGACGCCGAGCTTTCTGCGAATTGCAAACCATAAATACCAAAATCATTCTACGACGTATCCTACTCCAAAGTATAATTTAATTCGACAAGACATATTTAACTTCTAATGCAACTATATTTTATCTTAGAAAATTACGAGAAAGCAAAACTCAGGATTGAAAGGAGCTTCTTAATAATAAATTATAAATATTTTAAAATTTAAATTAAACTGAAATTTTAATTTACAAAAAA